TCATTTGGTCTAGAGGATACAGGGTCAGGTATTCCTGTGGAAAAATCTCAGAATTATTTCTGATTCGGGTTTTCTGACACTCCCTGGCCTTTGACCCACCACAAGACATCGATCTCATTGGTTTTTATTGCGTTACAGTTGTACTTTATTGTTTTCAATATTCTTATAGGCTTCTTTTGTCCAAATGAACATTACTGTTAAGCAGCAGAACAACATCTTCCACTCTTCACACACTGAGCCACCTTTGTGCTAAGGACAGGCTGTTCCCTGAGGGGCTGAGGACTAACTGAATTGCATAGAGTATACCATCAGTGAGTTACTGTTTGTGGTGTGAATAACCCAGATTCCATCAGAAGTCGTTACGTTTCTTTTCAGTGCTGCCAATCAGACTTTGAGTGCTCACTCCAGGACTGTGCAAACTCATAAATCAGTCAGTATGAGTGAAATATTCAACTAAATGCTTTCTGTAGTCAGGTCTTACAAAACTCCAAGACTTAGCAAGTCTAGTAGAGTAATAAAATATTAAGCAACTGAAATAAAATTAGTATTATCTTGTTAAAAACACTGCTCTGAGTCGAGGTTCACTACATCATGTTGATCTTTGTCAACTCATTCAAAGTTAGAGCTACAATAGTGATATAAAGTGCAATCAATAAGCTCCACACTTATTCAAAATGCTTCTGATGTCCCCTTTATCTTCTTCAGGGTTATCGTCTCGTGAAGCTATACAGCACTCCCAGCTCTCCTGCTGCTACAGACCATATCTAACATATTTGTGACGTGCTCCTTCACTGTGTCAAGGACAGCAGCGAGAGCCTTTGTTTGAACAGCAGGTTGCTACAGTTCAGGTCGTCTGCACAAACCTTTTCCCTTTGACAGCTTAGATCAGAATTGCCTGACCCTCGAGGGCGAATTCATGGTGCACAACCATGTGAATGTCAAAAACACCAGGCATGCTTCATGCTTCTCCTGAGCCGATGCATCTCCTTCAGGCTCAGTGAACTGCAGTTTCACCCGTGGACTGCAGGCAAAGACTCAAATCTGATCCTTGACATTAAAGTTGACATGATTGTGCATGTTTTTATAAGGACAATGAGCCTTTCAATCAAACCGCATCATTCAGTGAGTTCACTGACGGGGACTATTCTTGCACACAGCGGCTCATTATCCACCATTTGGAAATACTTCAGATTTAGGGCAAGCGTTACTAACAGACAACAAATCACACATAAAGAAAGCTGCAGAGTTGCGTCTCTAACACACAGCAACAAACACCAATCAAACTGCCACCAGTGCAGTGGTTGCTTATGGCTGTGTTCATAAACACAAGCCGCACAGCTCGTCACTCCATCGACCTCACAAAGACCAACGGAAATCACCGCCACAATCACGTCCACTAAACACGGTGAATCTGAAGGCTTCAGGGAAGCTGTCAACTCACAGAACAAAAGATTTGTTTCACCCGGCCTGAGTGCGTTTGCAACTTTATTTAGAAACATGTTTAAACACCAGGACGGCACCACAGTGCAAAAATGAAAGCAGTGACCTGTTTATTTCACTTTGTGCAATTTTTTTATTTATATTTTCCTTCAGGGATTGACTGAATTTAGCATTTGCACATTAGCAGGAATGCAGCACAGCAACATTGTAAAAGTGCTATTTGTCAGAATAATCATAATAAGAATAATCATAATAAATATTCAGGATCTCAATATAGATCAAAGTAATGGGGATAATCATGTTGGCCATAATGGTGCAGCTCTACTCCTCAGTGCTTAATATAAGAGGATTCATCTGACTTATAAAGTCTTAGTTCAAGTCAGAAACTGAGTTATGTGAAACCTGCAAATATTAAGTGACTGGACTGAAGAAGAGAGTCACCGGGAAGTCATATCAATACTTTGTAACTGTACTGCTGTAGCTAACCAACATGTACAGTAGAGTTCAAGCAGTCCAGAGGAACAGTAGGAATGGATAATAAGTGACAAACCTGTGGAATCCTAAAAGGTATATGCGGCTTATGAAAACCCACAGCCAAGAAGAAAGGATCGTCATCGTTGACTCGACTCTTCAGTAACCTCACCGCCTCCTCTGTGCTCTCCAGGTCAGGGAGGGTTCCCCCAGGCTGCTCGCTCACATTCACAGCACAGAGCAAGTTGACGTGGAGTTTCCCATCCTTCCCTTTACACATCTGGAAACAACGTTTGTATGAAAATTATGTGACATCTGAAGTTGTGTTGTGGCCACAAAGACTCCAGAATCGACTTGCTTATGTACCAATGTCTTTGGGCTCTGCTGTACTTTAAGTAACATCTTTAGCTGCTAGAAGCAGTTTGATACCCAGTGTAGATGATGCGTTTAGAGGTTTTGTTGAAAACAGTTTTCAGTCATAAATAGAATCAAAGTTCTGCCACAGAAAAGAGTCACAAGGAAATGAGTTAGCACTTTATACTCCCAGTTCCTTTTTTTCTAAACCAATTTAGATCCCTGGAATTTTGGTTAGATGGATGAAATAAGGTCTGTGCTCAACACAGACTTTAGATATTTCCAGGTTTAAGTTGACAACTGAAAATAAGTAAATAACACACTTGGGAATGCTAAAACTTCTCCAGCTGCCCGGACAATGGGACATGACACTGCATGTGTAGCCCAGGAGGTAACTGGTTGGTAGTGTGTATTCTGATACAGGTGAATTATTCCCTGAGGGGGTACCTCTCGGAAACTGATGAATCACGGTGTGCTAAAGGATCATTAACATTGAGAAACAGGCTCTCCATTTGAAAGGCTCCTTTTATAATCAACACGGTGAAAGTCGTACCTTTTTTTTCTCATATGTGAATGAAGGTGGGTGATAGGCTGGGATGGACCAGCTGTAAGGATAGTCGTCAGTATTGTTGGAGGCAATGCCTACAGAGTGAAAAAAAACAACCATTATTTTCACAGCTATTCTACTGGAAAGTGGTGCATGTGCAGTTCTTTGTGGATTTCTATTCAAAATGCACCTGGTTAAACCTACCTGGGTGAAACACCTTGCCCACAGACATAGTTAAGTACCCTTGAGATTTAAAGTACTGTGGCAGAGTCGTGTAGTTTCCAGAATGGACTCTCCAGTAGGAGTTGAAGTCATAGAGCCTGGTTGTGTCCGGTCTCCGACTGGTTAACATGGATACCCGACTGGGACCGCACACAGCTTGCTGAGAGAGGAAAAGAGAGATCCATTGAGGTTAAGCAATGCAGTTCAATTCACCACAGCTAACACGAACAATGCAACTGACCTGCGCAAAGGCATTGAGAAAGACTTGGCCTCTGGATGCCAGCTGGTCAATGTTGGGCGATTTAGCCACCGGATCCCCATAGCACCCCAGAGATGTCCGCAAATCATCTGCCATGATGAAAAGGACATTTTTCCTCTCTGAAAGCAAACACAATCACAGATTACTCACTTTCTCTCCAAGCCCTCAAATCAGCCACGGAGCGCTATGGCACAGTTTCCAGGAAGAGTCACACTAATGTGAGGGTGTACCATTATTCTAGTAAACTTAAAGTAAGCGCATTTAAACATCCAAGAACAGAAACTTAAAAATTGAACCTGAAAATAAGCTGGACGCGTAAAACATACCAAACAAAGCGCCATTCAGTTGGTAAATTAAATTAAACTAACAGCCAACAGTAGCACCAGCCACTGAGTCAATAAATATTCTGCACTCATTACAGCCAATATAAGTTAACCAAGTTACAGTCATTAGAAAGTCTATGAAGTTTTGCTAGCAGCAATCAGATTACACCTGAAGTCCAAACCCCACCTACCTCTCCCCGCGGCAGCAGGATACGTCGACGTGTGAAGGACCAGCAGGAAAAAACACCTCAGGACAAATATGTCCATTTTAGAGGAGCCAAAAACGGCTATAGCGTGATATCCTGACGTTAGCCTCCTGCTGTTCAAACTTCCGTCCTGCGCACTCCCGTCAAAACAAAACAGCGTGCCCGTTTGAGTGATTTAATTACTTCCTGATTAACCAGCTGTCACTCTTCATTGGCTATTTCAGCTACGGCCTCGGCGCCCGCGGCTCATTTGACGAGTTCAGTCACGTGTCAGTCATATTAAATGTCCCGCTGAATACCAGCACCCAGTCTAATTAAAATGAGATGATAGCCGCAGTCTAATGAAACTTTTGCGTTGTAACAAATCAGTTACGTCCCGAGTATCTGCCAGTCAGCCTGCGTGTAGCTTCATTTGTACAACAGGCTCAGAATAAAGAAAATGCAGTTTAATTACAGAGCCGTGAAAACAACTGAGGAGTAAGTAGCCCTAAAAGAGTTAAAAGAAATTCTCAGCTTTCATTTTCACAGAATAAATAGGGGCGATGATCTCTATCCGTTAAATTTACATTAACGTAACTGAAGAATAGGAGGCGAGTGAGAGGTCTCACTCCGCACATTGTTGACTTCCGCAAATTAACCGAATTACCAACAATAAGAAAGAAACTGCTGTTGATGGTACCAGAGCCAAAGAAGAAAGATCTGCCTACAAACAGAACGAAAGCTGAAGTGTTTGGAGTGTTGCGGGAAAAAATAATTTCAAATATATTGATTTATTTATTTTGCAAAATCTATAGGGAACATTCCCTGAAAGCTACTGTTTGCTAAGTGTGAGAGAAAAAAAACGCCCAAAGTCATTGTTTTGCCGTTACAGTTATTTAATTATTGAATAAACAACTCAAAAAACAAACAAACATGAGAGTTACTATAAAAAGTAATAATAAAGTAATAATAATCATAAATCCAAAATAATAAAACTACATAAATAAATAAATAAATAAACCAACTGGAAACTATATAAACAGGAGAATGAATACTAAAGTCAATAAGTACAAATACAAATATCAATTTATTAAATTTTACAGATAATGAAATGAAAACAATGTTAATATACATTCTTAATGTTATCTTACATGCATTTAATAGCATAATTGTTATTTAATAATATTTATTTTTGAGTCGGGGTGAAAACATCGTGTACAATACACAATCTTCGAAGCAGCGACACTGAACATGGCGGACACGAGCGCCAAACGTCTACTCGACAGCGATAAAACTGGTGAACCAGCTCCAGACGTCAAGAGGGGGAAAACTGACAATGAGAATGGGCGAGAAGATGGAAATGAGTCGGTCCAGGAAAATGTTCTGTCTGGGTTCAAAACCTCAAGCGTGTTGAGTGACTCCGCCCGAGAGAAAAACATCTTTATCCACGGAAAGGTAGCGTTGTTGCAAAGTTAGCTACCGTTGCTCAGTGTACAGACCATATGCAGCTATTTGTTACTTGTAACTATTGTTACAGAGTTGCAAGCGGCGTTTTAAAGGAAGCCGTTTTTGAAAGTGGCTTTTGAATGATTTGTAAGGAACTGTACGACACTAGCTTCCGGTTTGACCTTTCAAAATAATAGTCATTTGTTTTGTTTTTGTTTTTTGCAAACCAGGCCTGATAGGAACTTTGATCTTATGGTATCTTACTATGATCTTAAGGTTGCAGATCAGGATGCTGTGGTTATCCTTGAAAAGACCCCGATCAGAGAAGACTCACTGGCTGAGCTCTTTAGTGGTTCCACACTCAAACTGGAGATGAAAAATGACATCTACAGCACATATCGGCTCCAGGCTCCCCCTCATCTCAATGGTATGCTACCCCACTAGTAAACTGTCTGAATGTTATGTGATGTCAGTCAGATAACCTGCGTGTTTCTGTTATACAGAGATTAAGACCACAGTGGTGTGTCCAGCCACTGAGAAGCATATAAAGAAATACCAGCGTAAGGAGAGTTTCCTGGTCGAGGAAACGGAGGAAGACTATAAGAATATTACTCTACCCCACATTGTGAAGCAGAGTTTTAGTGTGCAGGTCAGTCTCTTTGGAGTACCTCTTCTGCTCCAGTCTGCTCTTTGGAGTGCACATTGCTCACTTTTCCCTGATTTTTACCTTGCAGTGGGTTTACAACATCTTGGAGAAGAAGGCAGAGGCTGAAAGGATCGTTTATGAAGATCCAGATCCTGACGTCGGCTTTGTCCTCCTTCCGGATTTCAAGTGGGACCAAAAACAGGTCAGAGGCCACTAATGTTGACACTGCTTCACTGACTTTAAAACCTCTTGATCAACCAGAATAAACTAGAACATGATTTTACACTAAAGCTCTGGCATGTTTTGCAGACCTCATTTCTATGCAGACAATCATATATTTACATTTACAGTGGCACAAACACTATTCTTCTGTACCTCTGTAATATTTCATTTAGCATTGCATGACAACTCCAGGCTGGAGCATTTTAACATTATAATATACATTTAGATGCAAAGTGGTATTATTGGAAAGAATGTTCTTGAGCACAAAAGCCCAAAATGGAGTGCACCAATGTGCTTATGGAACACCTTCATGCAATATTCCTTTTATTGAAAAATAAGTAAATAAATCACAGTCTGCCATTATTTGTATGATTAACACAATTAGACTGATCGATCTACAGTTTTCCTTAATGATTGTGATAAATGGTAATATCTCAAACCTGATGTGTCTTTTGAAAATGAAACTTTGGAGAAAGTAACTTATTTGTGTTTTATGATGAACTTGCCCTACGCTGGTTACGGTTCATGAAGAGGACATACAGTGTAACTGATATAGTAAGTCTTTTGGCTTAAGGCTTTATGTTAAGAGTGTAAATTTACACAGTATATGTGCAGGTGTGATTAAACCTGCACATATACTGGCCTGCAGAGGGCAACTTCATAGAAATCTATGGAAAAATGGCCCTGAGTTCCCACTTCTGTGACGTCAGAAAAACCTTCCTAATGACATTTTTGGGCGGAGTCGCTTTTTTCAGGTCATAGTAACTAAACCATGGGACTCTGCTAACAATGGCACTGGCTAGCTTGGTTAGCAAGGCAAGTTTTGGCTAGTGAAAAACTTCCCTAGAATGTACTCGTACGTTACAGTTCAGCGAATATACTAGAAAAAGCATCTGCCTGTCAATTAAAGTTGCCACAGCACCAATACTGCATAACTTAATACAATCCTTAATGCAATTTAAACTGGTTAGCTATATAGAAATTCACTCCCTTGCTCTGAAATTGTATTCTCTAACATGGGGTCACTGTGGATTAACTCTTTAGTGAGCCAGCTTCAAGCAGCCATTCATAGAACTATAAGCTTCATTTTTCAGCCCCTGGAGCTTTTTACTCAAAAGCTTACTGGATGGCGAGTTCTTGGATTTTTAGACCACTTAACAGCCTCAGCACATCTGTCTTCTTTCAGGTGGATGATTTGTACCTCATTGCAATAGCACATCAGAGAGACATCAAGAGCCTTCGAGATCTGACATCAGAGCATGTCCCGCTGCTGCAGAACATCTTCCAGAAAGGAAAGGTGGGATTAAAGTGATCCTCAGGTCTCAGTTAAAGAGAGCTATATGCATATCAATCATCTTTACTCAATGTGGCTTCATTCATTCTCTGCGATGATATCTGTGTAAATTAGGAAGCCATCCTCCAGCGCTACAACCTTCCAGCCAGTAAGCTGAGAGTCTACCTGCACTACCAGCCCTCCTATTACCACCTGCACGTCCACTTCACCAAGCTGGGCTATGACGCGCCGGGCTGCGGTGTGGAGCGAGCCCATCTCATTGCTGATGTCATCCAGAACCTCCAGTCAAACCCCCAGTATTACAAAACACGGACACTCTACTTCCCCCTGAGGGCAGATGATGGACTGCTCAGTAAGTTCAAGGAGGCAGGGAGGCTGTAATGAACCAAACTCAGAGCACCATCCACCGCCTCTCTCTCTCCATCCAAACCGTGAGCTTTACAGCTGGGTTTTTTTGTTTTGAATGCTATCAGTTGGCTTGACATGCTAATGTTCACGCTACTCCAGCCCATAACTTTTAATCCATATCAAATATTGTCTCTGTAAACTGGATCATCCTTTAATGCCAGTTCACAGCTCTGTTCATTATGTTGTAGAACAACGTTATTGACACTCTGATCCGGTTTGTAGTCTGTTTTTATGACTTTTCTGTTTTTTCAAAAGTAATTTGTATATTTCTGATGTTTTTTTTGTAGTCGTGTCAGAAATTGTTATTAGTCTTGTTGTGATTAAAAACACAACAGTAGATGAAGCATTTTTTAATCAGTGTGTTTGATGTGCTTTTTGACTGAATGTTGTCAACTAAATTAAAGTACGTTTGGTTTCTAACTCTTTAATAAAATGTATTAAGTTTGCAGTGTTGGTTTCAATAATCCCTCAAAGACATAATTGGTTTATTATAACCAGGCCTATTATTCTTGCCTTATTTTCTGACATAATGAACAGAGGGGGTTACACCAAGCTCTGGGATAAGATCTATACGGACAATTTTAAACTGTGAATCATGGAAAGCTAAACTGGTACAGTCCAAGAGCCCAACTAATGCCAACAACCAAAATTAGCTTTTAGCTGCTGCATCTGTATCTGCATTTATAATGACTGATATGTCAAAAATTAAAATGCAAAGAAGCCTTTGAAGAAACCCATGCAAGCATGTTGTGATGGTTGATGTTGCACATTTTGTCCAACAGGGGGCATTCTATAGCTTCACTGTTGGCAGCGTGTTTGGACATGCTTCTTTATCATATCACTGCAATATATGTATAACAGCAGAGAATCCAAAGCCACAGTTCCTCAGCTGCTGCACTAGATGGTAGTATAAATCCTACGATGATAAGACATTCTTGTGCATGTGCTAGACTGTAAACCTAAATCTCCAGTCTGGGTAATATCATGAGTCTCACTTTTTTCTCACTTTGTCATAAAAGAAAGCAAATTATAAAACCACCCTTTGCATATAAACACACCCACTTTTAACCAAAATACGCAATGAAGTTGCACTTCGTTCATTTTCTGTCATATATACACTTTAACAGTGTTGATGTCCATATTAAACAGTGTTTCAAGTGGTGAGGTCAGTGCATGTACAGTAGAAGTAATCCTGAAGGTCAGGCTTCAGACTGCTCGAAACTCTCAGTTTAAAGCGACCGAACCTTCTGTTTGAGAGGAGCAGCCAGTTAGAGGAGGCTCCATGAACTGGGGGGGGCGGGTCTACCAAGGCCCAGTATGAGACAAATAAAGATTATATCGAATTGTCATACAAAGCTGCTGTAGCATTCCGAGAATAAAAATAATACACACACAATGAAAAATGGAGCTAGCAATAAGCATAGCAGGTTCTCTTTAACTTAACACCACATACATACTTTTGGATCTGAAGTACTGCGCTCATTTGAACCTGTGCCTCGTAGCTACACCTGTGTCTCCCCTTCAGCCCCGCTGACAGTCGGAGCTGTATAATGCGAGTTTGTACACACACACCTCAGTTTGCCTCTGAGCTGCTGTGACTTTGTTAAAAGATCATTTCTTGCAGACATAATTTTCTTATCTGATCTAAAGTCAGCTGGGCGGTGTTCAGTTCGTGCTTAAGGTGCGTTCAAGTGTCCCTTGGAAAAATGCGAATTGATCAACAGCAACGATACTACACCGTCCTGTGATTTGTTCCTTAGCCTAGCAACCAGTCTGCTGGGACCCACGTCAAAGACCATTTAGTGGTTTGTTCAGCCTTAATAAGTTACAACCTGTGTTTAACAGAAACTTGACGGGGAAGCTGTTTAATGTAACTTGATCCTAATCCTCTCATTATTGTCTAACTGTGTGTTTCGAAAGCTTTTCCAGGTTTTTTTCTTTTAAGTATACTAATAGAATTCATGGGTTACATGCTTGAGTTGGTTTTAACGTTATTAACCACAGGCACGCTGGACTGTGTGTACTCTTGTTTTGTTCAGTAAACACCTATCCTGGAAAAAGCACAAGGATCGCTGCTGAATGGACGTATTACGACATATCCAGTAGAGTGCATGTTTTTGCTTTTGTGTAAGTGCAATTAGAGCATTTTCCACATTGAGAACACCCAGAGGAAATCTTCCACAAAGGCATCAAAACCCGCTAATTAAATACCCCGAGAACCGGTTAACGCCTCTTTATTTCCTGAACCCAACCTAGGAAGATATCAGTAGTGTGGGTCGCTATTAAACTTTATATATATTTATATATTAAAAAATAGGATTGGAGTGTAAACCTAAACACTAATGATTTGTTGGTGAGACGGGATTGCGGAGTTTCCGTGGTGTCTCCTGAACGCAGCATCACGGACCTGAGGACGCCAGCCCACGACTGAGACAAATAATCCAATCATTAGTCCAGTGACGGCGCAGATGTCTTGGTTTCAGTATCTGAGGGATGACTTCACCCTGAGGCCGTTTGAGATTCAGCAGACACAGTGAGTATCCCCGCAACGGCTACAAGCTTTCCCGGCCAACTGTGCGTCATCTCTGGGACTCTTCAGCTTTGTTTTGCCCGGAGATGGAGATGTCTGATTGGTAGTAATCGATACATGTGCTTGTTACAGTGTGCCGGACACGCTGCTGTGCTTGTTTGTGTGTGAACTGAATTAGTTGAGGGGATAAAACGTTTTATTTTAGTTTTTCCTCTTTGGGCTCTGATTTGCAGACAGCACTGTAGGTGGGCTGTAATTATTCTTTGGAGTTCCTGAAGTCCTTTTACTTAGTTTTTATGTATTTTTTGTTTTTTGCTGGTGTTTCAACTACATTCTGTTTTGGATTAGTGTATAACGTTGGCTAAACTGGAAGTAGGTTGGTGGTAATCCCCCTAAAAATCAACTTTGGTCAGGCACTTTTTCCATCACATGATTTAACACCAGCAAAGCTGTTCTGGTTCTTCAAAGATTGCCACTTGTTGTTATCTATTGTGAAACATTCTGGGAACATTAAGATGCATTTGAGGTTTTAATCTATTCTCCAAGTAAGTTTTCAGTGAACTAGTTTTAATTGGCTAACCTGTCAAAAGGACCCTGGTTATAAGCAGCAGCTGATCTTTTCTCCTTCAGCAGCTCAGTGCCTGTGATTCATCCATGCACCGCCTCTCATGCAAGGTTTCCATATAATTCATTTACTGTAGCCTTTAAAGGCATATTAGGCCTATTGTCCTGATCAGTCACTCTCTACAACCCTGTAGACTTAGTGAGAACACACACACACACACACACACACACACAGTGCATGCGTGTGAGCTCAGTGTTTGGTGGCGGCAGGTCAAGGACGGTCCAGATTAAACAGTTCTCTTTCGCTGCGTTTCACCACCGTAATCCTGAACACAGACACTGAGTGATTCAGAACAGAGTCATGCTGTCTGTCAGTGTGACTGAATAAATGACACTATTGATCTGAGAACGATGTTGACTTCTGACTGCGTCATTTCTTTGTTCTGGAAGTGACGACAAAGCAGATTCCCATTACATGTCAAAGCGCTCTGAGATCTTGATGAATAATGACGTGGTATCACTCAGTGCTTTGCAGTAAATCCAGTTATCACACTGAATGAAGATGCACGAGTTTGTCTGCTGGTTGTCGGATTGAGAAGCTTGGAGAAATAGGCTTCTGTGAGAGTGTGTGTGAACTGTCAACTGTCAAAGTCTTCTTTATTAAAGGTCTGATTAGGTCGTCCATCACTAGGTCACTTTAAAAAAAACAGTTTTTCTTTGTGAGGGAGTGCTGTCATGACAATTCAGTCATTCATAATTTGACAGAACATGCTCCTGTGTGTCGGACTCGGAGTGTAACTGGATGGTCTTTAAAACCTAACTTCTTGCTTCCTGTGCAGCCTGAGTGAGCGTTATCTTTTCATATCGATTATACTTCGGAGGCACGAAATCTTTTTGGATGGTTTCATCTGCCACCCTGCTCATCAAAGTCAGGAAAAACAAGTCCGTGTCAGCTAAAGTCCTGGAAAACCTCTTTAGCATTGAGACAGCCTATTCAATCAAGCATTCACAGGACTTTGCTTGTTCCTCATTTCGTTGTGTTACAGCCTCCGAAAATTGATTAAATTCACTTTTTACCTCAAAACTTTACACACAAAATAATACCCATAATGCTAATGGGATAAGGGTTTGCTTAAAATTCTTGCAAACCTATTAAAAAAATTATGTATATATAACATGCACATAAGAATTCACAGCCTTTACTCAGTACTTGACTGAAGCGATTGTGGCAGGAGTTAGCACGCCTGTTTTTGAGCACTTTTTCCCATTTGTCTTTGCAGAACCTTTAAGCTCCATCAGGCTGGATAGAGAGCATCAGTGCAGAGACATTTTCAGATCTCTGCAGGGATGTTCAGGTTCAATTTTGGGCTCTGGCTGAGACATTCAGTTGTCCTGAAGCCGGTCCTTTTGTTATCTTGGCTGTGGGTTTAGGGTTTGTCTTGTTGGAAGATGAATCTTCACCCAGTCCGAGGTCCAGAGCACTCTAGAGCAGGATGTCATCAGGGGTGTCTCTGTACATTGCTCCATTTAACTTTGGACCCTGACTAATCTCCCTGTCACATAACATCTCTGCAGCATGATGCTGCCACCACCATGCTTCACTGTAGGGACAGCATTGGGCAGGTGATGAGCAGTGCCTGGTGTTCTAAAGACATGATGCTTAGCATTCAGGCAAAAGAATTCAATATTTGTTTTATCAGACCGGAGAATTTTGTTTCTCGTGGTCTGGGAAACAACATTCAGGTATCTTTTTGCAAACTCCAGGCAGATTTTCTGGCTGTCTCCTCAGCATTGACTGAAGAGTGACTTCCATCTGGCCACTCCACCATACAGGCCTGATTGGTGGAGCAGTGCAATAATGGTTGTCCTTCTGGGATGTTCGTCTAACGCCGACAGAGCAGTGCTGAAGCTGTGTCAGCGTTAGGCCCTTCTATCCCCGATTACTGAGACTGGCTGAGCGGCTAGCTATAGGAAGAGTCCTGGTGGTTCAAAACCTCTTCCATTTATCAATGATGAAGGCCTCTGTTGGGGATCGATCACTTTTAAAGCCAACCTCGAGTGGTCATTAGAGGAACTATAGTTGTTGAAACTTTCAGGTTGTTTTCGCACTGAATGCCGCTGCACACTGGGCAGGTGTCGTGTGGTGGGAATAGAAATGATGGAAATTTAAATGTCATCAGTCAAAACTTTGTATTAATGGACAGCTACACTATAAATAGCTCCATCGGTTGGATTTGGTAGGTATTTTACCGGCTTCTCTAACTTGTTGGGCGAATGTGTGAACCGCTACAGTATTGAGCGACTACATGAGCAGCTATCCCATAAAGCTTATTGAGATTGTGGAAGAGTTTCTA